TAGCTTCCTGCCTCCTACTTTGCCTCAGTTAAACAAGCAGCAATCAAGTTCCAAAAATGTAGAGTTGGTTGGTTCTTCTAGAACCTATTTGTACATTTTTAAACAACACATTCACCTTAAAAAAGTATGTGAAAGAAATCAGTTCTTTGCATTAATTCTTGCTATAGAACATAGAAGTAGATAAGGGTGGGCTAAAACATCAAACAGGTTGAGACATTATTGATGCATATGAATGTTTCAGTCTTACAAAAGAGAACCAGCATTTGACAGTATTTCATGTACTGAGCTCCATGCATTTCAAGAGTTTCAGAATCATAATGATTCACCTACACAGACACATGTAGGGTTTGATCTTCTTTTGAATAATTTTCTTGGAATTTGTAGCCAAATGCCTTTAGGAATATATATCTGTACACACTGAAAACAAACAACACTCACTTTATAGATGCACAAACCAAACACAAAAAGCCTTAGCTGCACAAGTGTATGTAGGCACTCAAAACATTTTCTGCTCTTTCAACAGAAGTGAAAGGAAATTAAAATGGGCAAACAACTCACAAGAAATTGCTGCCTGAAACACATGGACCTTCCTGTCACAGCCTTATAAAGCTGAAATTATCCAACATGCAAAAAGCGCTGTTAATTTTGATCATAAATTAAAAGCATTATAACCATGCTAGAAACTGTGATTATTTAAAAATGGATGCAAGAAGAGCTAGACCTGTATTCTGAAAGTTGAGCATCATGCTAGGAATGTTTTTTCCTAAAAAAAAAAAAAAAAAAAAAAAAAAAGCACGTCCAAAACATGCTACTTAGGAGAAGCATTTGGCTCAAAAACACAGAGCAAAGCCAAGAAATAACCAAACTGAATGTATCTGCACTACAGGTATTGTCTTCTCAACCCACTAATATTCATGCCTCTTCCCATCTCTCTCAGCACTGGTTAGTTCACCTTCAGCATGCATAAGAGTTGATGAGGAACTGTCCCTCCTACTCTACCTAATTTTGCTCAGCTGATTCCTTGCCCTGGACAATGGCTGCAGTGCGATGAACTCGTCACTTAAAGCAACTCTGTTGGAGTACATCTACAATTGGACAGAGAAGGGATGGAACATACATGTCAGTAAGTAGCAGCTGTAATTTTTTAAGAGAAAGACACAGGACAAGACATTGTTATTTAAGTGGAATACACATCATTATACAAAACACAACCTTCAGGACAGCTCCTGGGATCATCACAGACAGTTATTGTTTGGTAGGATCATTCTTAAGTATATCTTAGTACTCATATTGGAAAAAAAAAAAAAAGGCCTATGCACTTTTACATCTATACTTTACCAGACATCTTTTTTCAATATTACCTTCTCTCCTCAATAGTGCTGCGATTTATATTTACCCAAGGATTTACATTTTGATTCAGATATATCTCACTGGCTACTTTCTCCTATATGACTCTGTAACAGATCTGTAGTCAGAAACTGCCCAGAAGCTACTTCACGACAACAGACCTAAGTCAAACATATTAAGATGGATCTTCTTTTAGTTCAGGAGAAAAACCCTTGGAACACAGAGGGGAAAAAAAAAAAATTACATACATGCACCCTTAGTGCATTAAGGAATGTAAAGTTAACCAAATTTATCCCTCTATAAAAGTCAGCTCATGCCTGCTTGTTAAATTTTTAATATACTGACTTCCCAAAATGGTACTGACAAATTTATTTCAAGTTGTGACAGAACAGTATTTGCATTTGAAAGTATACCTGCGCAGAATTTCTCAAGTGTTTCTATCTCATACCAGTTAAATCCTTTTGCTCTCTTATGAATAACTTGGCTACATATAACATCTAACTGATAAGAAACAGATTGGTGTTTGATGCTATGACTTACACCAAATAAAAGATACAAAACCAAGTTCCTTACATGCTAAGTCAAGTAAGGTAGGTGCCTGTGGACACAGTGAATTCAGAAAACTAAGTTGGGTGACTTGCACAATTAATGTGCTCTTAGTTTCTGAAAAATTAAAACAACAGAAGCAAGTATTTGGAACTGAAAAACCAGGGTTTTTTTTCCACTGCTCCTGGGAACAGTTTGTAATTTAAAAGATGGTAGACAGCAACAAATAAGTTAAATAGTTGCTGTTAAAAAAAAACCTCAAACCATTAAAAAATCAGTGATTAGTTCATGTAACAATTTATCCTGCCCTGATAGAAAGTAACTTAGTAACTGCAAACTAAACTTTTTCTTTCCCCCAAAATTTAGTCCTAAAATTAAAAATAATTAAAAATATTCAGTTATACAGAGGGTGTGCCTACACTACAAAAAGAGGCATCTAAGAGAGGATATTGCTCTCTTAAAGCAAAGTTCCATATTCACTTTTTCAATAGCTTCCAGTTTTTTTCAATTTCTTCAGTGTTTAGGACAAAGACATTCTCCAAACCCATTCTCTCTGAAATTCAGAGTCCTTTCCTCTGCTTTGAAATGGAAAGAAAAATATTTACTGGACCTATTAAACAAATCTAATGAGCTATAATCATGAAAGAAGCATTCTGTCACTTCTTTACAATAAATGTGCTAAGTCTGCCATCTGTTCAACTTCACTTAGGTCTACTTCCTCACTACAAGAACAGCCAATGGAAGCCAGTGGGGCTGATTGTTCCATGAAAAGGAAAAGTGTGAAAAACCCAGATTAAACCTCAAGACAGGAACAAATGATGCCTTCTTTTTCCAAATATGTTTTCAGCTATGATGTCACTATCAGACAGAGAAAACACTGAATGGAAGCTGAGGCAACTCTGGTCAAATCAGGTTTCAGATACCTCGACTTTGCAATATCAGGATTCAAGTGTTTTCAGAAAAAACATGGTTTTAGTAGACATAGCCTCTAATGCTGACACTGTCAAATGACAAAGTAGAATGGAAATAAGGAAAGAAACAAGAGATGACTAATAGAGATGCACAGGAAAGGTGTATGACATTCATCAAGATTCTTCTTAAAAATAATAAGTCTGACTGTGCCCTTGATGACACCGCTGCAACGGAAGCAAACGAACAGACAAATTCTTTAGAAAGCAAGAGAATGCAGCAAGAAGTATATAGATAAAGCTAGGGAAAAATGATGCAGGCTTTTTGGAATTTAATTCAAGTGCTTTAGGAACATGAGAAACCTCCACAACTGTATCAATACAGTACCAAACAAGCAGCTGATGTACAGGAAGGAAAGAGAAGTGTTTGATAAATATTGCCACTAGCTTTTGAAGGGAGGAAAAAAAAAAGAAATGAAGTATCACGACATCTAGATTTTTCCTAAACCAAGACTCTTTAATACAAAAAAAATACAATAACATGCAATCAAGTGTCTTATCAAGTCTACTTGAACAGTCTTCTGAAAGCTAGTGGATATTTATTTTTATATCTCTCTATTATATTCACTAATTTCCAAGACTGGAAAAAGCAGCTAATATTCCAGTTTTGAAAAGGGACTAATGGGCCACTTTGGCTAGCAAGAGATTTGTCAGCATGATGTTGATCCCATGCAAATTAAGAGAATGCTTTACATAGATCTTTTTTTAAACACACAAATTAGAAGGGTAATGTAATTTAGGCAAATCAACATGCACTTATATCGATCTAGTTACAGGGTTATATGCTAAAGGTAACAGTAATGAGGTAAGGCAGTTAAGAGTTCTGGACAGGACGCAGCTCAGGATAATTTGGATTAAGAAACTAGGATACTACAAAATTAGTATGTCACACAAGTGGACTACAAACTGCTAACAGGTTTCAGAACAGAACTGTATATTGGATATCTATGTCAAGTGGGTTCTTTTATTCACTGTCACATTTTTTTTTCCCCTATTCTATGGGACCTCTGATCAATGAGCTGGAAGAAATGAACATAATTACTCGCAGATGAGAAAAAGATGCAGAAGACACTGGGCTACTGATGTGTATTGGCTTATAAACTGCATATTGGTGGGGGATTCATTGTTTCCATACTTGGCATTGATGTATGCTGTGCTGGAATACTGTGTCCACTAGTAAAATTCAAGATGAGGTTGAGGAACAGTGAAGATTACAGGAGAAGTACAAGAATGATTAAAAGACTGGAAAATAAACTTTTAGACAAAAGATGCAAGTTCAATCTCCTTATCAGGGAGAAAAGTAACTTAATCACAGACCTAACCATGAACAAAGCAAACTGTTAACAGAAGGCTTTTCAGTTCAGAGAAAAAAAAAAAAAGTGTAAAAAGATAAAATGCTAAATACTGAAACCAGACACTATTAGAACATCAAGTTGTGATGGATTCTCCATAACTGTCACTTAAAAAGACATAAAACTCTCAAACACAGATGAGGTATTTACCTAAAAGACAGGCTAATTTCAACAAAATAATTTCAAAAGAGCTTTTGTAGCCCATTTCAGGCAAAGAGAGATTCTATTATCACAGTATATCTTTAGACCTCTTTTATGAACTTACAAAAATGCAAAACAGATAATCATCTTTAATTACATAATAAAGAATAAAATATATGGCATATAGAATGATCAAGATTTAAGAAAATCTAATAAAACAAGTCCTACTAAAGTAATTTTTTTTTTTTTAGTCAAATTTTAAGAACTATTCAGTAGCAATTACAGTTGAAGACAGTTTCTAATACTTAGACAAAAATGAGAATAAGCTACCAACTTTAAAGCAGTACAAAAATCCTTTCATACAGTTACAGGGTGAGATGTAAAAGACTGAGTGACTCTTTTATAAATAATTCTACTATTGTTAATATCAATTACTTAAACATAAATGTTATTTCCTTGTAAAATGGTGTCCTAATTTTGATTTAACAACTACCTTTTGAAATGAGAACACTTTTATGCATTAAATATGACAGTAACGTAAAAGGATAATTAAGTACCACAGGAAAAGAATTAGTTTACAAGTTAGATTTTAACAATCATGTTCTTTTAGCTATTGATCAAGCTGGATCCAAAAGCATAACATTACCTGAGCTTTTTCAGTACTTGTTGGTTGTAGATGTCTGTACAGCACTTTCTTCACAACATCAATAAACAAACAAGCAACTACTATGAGGATTATGGCAAACCAAGCAGAACCACTTGACAACAGTTGAACAAATACAAAGTACATGTCCTGGGTATGTAAAAATGGCCTGAAAAGTTAAAAGAAGTGGCAATTACTAAAAGAAACTTCTAGAAACAGAAGTAAAGCACAGGCAGGCTCAAGTGTATGTGACTTTACATCAAGCAGCAAGTCTCACAGGATGCAGAGTTAAAACTGCATAGTGTCCATGAAGTCTAGCAATCTGTTGGACCTGACCTGCAGAGAAACTCTGGGGAAGGAGGGTCCTGAACTTTTGACAGAAACATTCTGTTTTTGTTTTAAATTGGGGTGCAGGAAATCAATCACGATCCTATCCCTTCAAGACCCCAAAATAAAAAGAAAAAAATGCATCCCTTTAGCAATTCAAACTGCATCATTTTCATTTCTGCTGGAAACATTTACCTATTACATAGCACCTTTGGGAACCTATGTAGTTTTTAAAAACAAAAATGCCTTTATAGTCACCTGCTGTTAAAGACAAGTAAAGCCTGTCCTTGAGCACAGAACAGCTTAGCAGCACTGCTCAGACTTCTGAAAGAATCATCAAAAGCAAGTGGTTTTTTAGGTTTAAAAATTTATTTTCTGACACCTGTCACAAAATTCAGAGCAAGATGGTAGAACATAATACTTCAGTGTTTTTTCATAGCTTCACCTATCATATGTGCTATAGAAAGGAGAGAAGGGAAAAAAAAAAGGAATCACTCACCAGATAATTCCCCCATAAAACAAGGAGAATATGAAATAAAATACAATGGATCCCCAAGTAACAAAATGGTTTATCCATGTCCAGAAGTGAGTTTCTAGTGCCATCTAAAACAAAGATAACTTCAATGAACTTCCTTTTTCCTTCCACTTCACAGAAAATGATAAATTCCAGACAGTATGTACTTAGGAACTTCCAGCTCAAACACTAAATATTGCTGTAACGTGCAAAAACTACAAAGAACCACTTTAAACACCACTGAAACCAAATATAAAAATAACTTAAATCATTAATCTGGAATCGTCAAGAATCAACTACTTCTGAATAAGTTTTGTATCAATTTAAAATTATTGCTCTATTACATATTTGCATATATATCCAAGCACAGAGAGTAATTAGTATAATACCATACCTTCATTGTAACAGTTATAACCATAACGGTGAAGACCAAAGTACCAAACGTCCAGTTCCCAAACATCTAAGAAAATGGCAAGGCAAAAATCATGGAAGAAACAACAACAACAACAAAAAATCGGTTAAACACATTCACAGTAAGTTAGATTCTTCAAGTCAGCTACACTAATGAAACAAGTCTGCAGACATAAATTTGTGACAACTAATCATCATGAAAAAGCAGGGAGGACACAACATAAGCTACTACAAAAAAATACAGCTTATTGCTAAGAGCAAAATTAATAACCCACAAGTCATCTTTCTTCTTGGTTTAAAACAACCACAAAGGCTCCATGAAATATGAAGAAAGTCCAAAACAGCAACATGAAATGACAGGAAAATGAAGACATCAATTTGATCAATTAAGTATAAGCACCCAATAGAAAGCAAATATTGGGTAGGTATTCAGTTTAACAGAAGTGCAAAACACTGAGTTTAAACATTCTCAGATCATTTTCAACATGCAGCATCATCTGAAAAGTCAGTCTTTAACCCAAGCACAATTTTACAATTCAAAAATAATGGTGCCATTGTATTTTTCGAAGAAAATTCTAAGGAAAAGACACTTTGTTTCAAGGCTAATAAACAAAATTAAGCTTCAGTTCTAAAATGCTGTATCTGTCACTTTTGTGTTCTCTTGACCACGTAAATTAAACTACCAATACTCTGAAACAAGTTCTACAACAAAAAAATCTCTGCTCTGACATTCAAGCATGGATGCCAAGTTTGTAATCTATTTACACACACATGCTACGCAGACACAGGCTGCCATTCTACAACCAGTCCAACCGCTCAGCTCTTGTAAGCAGCCTGGGAGCTGAAACTGAAGATTTTGCTGTTTCGTAGCTATTTTTGCCACTGACATACTAAACAATTATCAAGCCCTCAACTCTGTATTTACTGGTAGTGAACTAAGCAAGCAAAGAGAAAGGTACTACATGCAGAGTTGGTTTGTTAGTACAGCACAGAGGCATGGAACTGGGATTCACACAGTTGTAGTCCTTGTTACAGAGTCTGACTGAAAAAAAAAAAAACAAACCATCAGCCTGATCATAGTGCTCTCAACTGTTTTTCTCATCTTTTCACAAGGTATAAAATTGAAGCAGCTATGAGTCTGGATTTACTGATGATTTTGAAGACCTTTGTTATAACACGTCTTCTGAAGCCTTCTCTTTCCTTCACACACCAATGGTAATGTTTAACAAGCTACATGCTTACTGCTAACTCCTGCAATAACCTTAAAGTAAAGTAAGACTACTGCTCCTTGAGTGACCTGTGAAAGAAAGTGTCTTTGCTAACACTGCTCTTAATGGTCACAGAGTTAGAATGCAAAACGTGAACAGTTGCTTGCCACCATTTTATTTTTGAACACATTTGCACTGTGGATGCTGCATCCTTTAATCCTGTGAAGTAACAGATACAGTATTTTGTATCTCCTCCTCTTCTAAACTCTTACCATTTGCCTGTTAGGTTTCAATATCTGACGACATGCACAGCATGAAAAAGGGGGGAGAGAAAAGAACTAAAAGATCAAGTTGTTGCACAATGTGTCGAGGTAAGCCTAACAAGCCACCAGCATTAACAAATTATTTACAGTCTTTTCTGTTCTGCTTTGCTCCAAACTGAGAACTTGGAATGAAAATGTGAGGCCTTGTGATAACACTACCCTTTATCACACACAGTTATCACTTATTGAAGACTTTTTACATGAAAACACTTTAGCAGTACAAGTTTCTCTTGCCCTTAACTTTGGCTTTTTCAGATATTTGTTAAATTTGCAACATAGTTTATGCACTGATATTCTAGTGCAATAACCAATCCTAGTTCAAATAACAATCTCCTAGCCAACACAGAGAGGTAGAGAGTAACTCCAAATAAATTCTCAGACTCCTAAGTCACATCACAGAAAACATGAGAGGCCAAAGGGCATCTGAAAACTAAGTACATACAAAACCTAGAAGGTAACATACAAGAAACCATTAGAAGAACCTTCTCCATAAAGTCTACATTAACACACTGGTCTAGACTTAGAGAAAATCTGTTCCCCAAACTAAACATCTGTTACTAAATGCAATAAAACCGGTCTGTTCCTGCCTTGTAGATGCTTTCTAAGCAATTAGAAGTGAGGTGCTTTAACAACTAAGAGAGATGCACAGAAACACAGTGATTCATAGTATAAAATTACTTCATTAGAAGAGTACAGAAGCTCTTTTATGAATTCACCAGAACTTCCAAGTCACACAGCTTGTAACAAATTACAAGAGAGGACACACACAAAGAGAAGTCAGTTGTAAGGGACATTTTAGTCTAAAGCATAACTATTTTCGCATTCTAATCAAACATCTCTTGATGAAATTGGTACTCCAGCAAGCTGCACCACTTCCCTGTTCCTGCTCCTTTCTCTGCAGGGATGCCAGCCACCAGCTCACATGCTCATGACTTTGACAAAAACAGTATATAAAACAAAGTTCAAGACATCCATAATACAATTATTATATTGAAAGAAATGTTCTTCATGGACACACACTTTCTGACAACATGTCTTGCAGTTTCCACATTAAGAAATATTACTCTTGAGAGCACCCATGAATATTGGCAAAGCAGCTCTGGTAATTACAGAGTTTGTAAAAATACAAAAAAAAAAATCTTAGAACACAGGAGGATTTAAATAAAAATAATTAAACACCCTGTCCTCCCCCTCCCCCCCTTAAGAAATAACACAAGAAATACAGTGGTAGAATAATTCTTATGATATACCTGGCCATTTCCCAGCAGAGAAGTGTCCTCTCCCATTAGGAGATACGAGCCATAAAAGAAAACAAATGCATGAAAGAAGCCCAGGATCGTCCAGTAAAGAAATGGTTTAAATCCCAGATGGGCATTTTTACTGATGTCTCTGCAGAAATAAAACAGATTTGGATTTCAGAATGTCTTTATATAAGCCATCAGCTATTCACATTGCATGACTGCTACTGCTTTGAATAAATGTAACTTTCAGCTGCACCAAGATACGTTTAACAAATGCTGACATACAAAAAAATACATAAATCATGGGGGGAAAAAAAGAACTCTGAGCTCTCATGATTTGCCTCTGCTTTATGCAGGGATCACCAATGGCAAGGGTCTCTAATGGGTCAAATTCAGAATAGCAAAAACTAGAACTCTTCTCCCTGGAGCTGGAATTGCAAGTGGATGAAAAAGGCAGACCTCATGATACTTGCCCCCTGTTCTGCTTAAAAGACCTTTAAGAAAAGGGAAACATCTAAGAGACATCTCTTTTTTTACAAAAATACATACCTTTTTCTCCATAAAGCAGGATGCAGTGCAATGTGCTACCACTGGGAAGACATCTAATTCTACAGGAAATCACTTCCACTCTTCATAAACCATTTTGTGGCCATTCCCCTAACCACAGTGTCCTAATTTTTCATGTGTGTGTCTGAGTGATCTTCAGCTTCTACATGTAAGGGAGACAGCTGCCAATCATGTAAAGCTGACCCAAGCTTCCAATCTTAACATGACAGGCATAAAAAGATGTTTCTCTTAAAATACTCACATTAATTTTTAAATGAAAACTATGTAGCTACCGTTATTCCTTATCTAGACGGTTATTAAAAATTCCACAAATTACAGCTAAAAATACTATATGAATGTATAGCAGCAGGTGCAGACTGATGTCACTGTTGTTCTAAACCACACGCTGCTGCGGCACCGCACATCCGTTATACGTACCGATAGAGCACAGGTTTACTCTGCAATATGTGCGGATGCACATGCTGTTCAAAAAGACTGTATATGAGGACAGGCAAGGAAGTGAAACAAATATTGTACAAAGTCAGGTATACACTGTCATAGAGCGTCTGAAAATGGAAAGAAAAATTATTTTGAGTTCTGTGAAGAAAAAAGTTGTTTATAGTTATCAAAAATCTATTAGCACGCTAAGCAGCAACAAACCATTATGTGAATTTACTAGTTAGAAAAAAGGTCTGCTCACATAACTATCTAGTAACATCAAGCTATCAAATATAGAAAATTAAGCTGGATATTTGTTAAGTACACAATCAGTACTGCTCCTGTGTAATTCTTTCCCATTTTTTTAATCTATTTACCCTGAGTGTTTCACATGCATTTACCGAGATGTAAGGCATCCAATACTTACTTGTTGTGAAAACAAACAGAAGAACTGATATAAAAATTGTGGTGTAATAAAGCACACATTCTGAAAAAAGGAAAGTGAAGGAAGTACGTTAATCCTCAGTATGTGCCTCACAACCCTAAAAGATATTGCTAACTCTTACAAGCTGGTAAAAATACACAGGGAGAGTATAAAGCATTTCAGCACTTTACTTGGCAAAGTGAAGCAATATGCTTTGCTCAAGTGTATTTTGTTTGCCCTTTGGCACAATGAACTTGAAAAATACAAACTTTATTACATATGCTTGATGAACATGTGTGTTTATAAATTCTTGAATGAAATGTGGAAACTTATTTTGCAAAGACATTTTAAAAAAGAAACCGAGGGGAAATGGTTGGATTTCTTCTCCTTGAATACTACTTGTACTCCCATAATCAAGCACATTGTGCTTAAACACATAATCAATGTGTTTCATATACATAGATATATGTTATCACACATATCAATGTCTTCATATAATCATTATTGAAAGGAGAAGAAATCATCTATTTCTACTTCAGAAAGACAAATTGATTTGGTTCGTATTAAATCAAACAATAAAGGTTACACCTTTACATCTTTCTGAAGAATGCATTTCATTTCGTGCTAGTAATACTGCTTTCAGAGATAAAGCATGCCTGCCTCTCAGCCCAGACAAACTTATTGTGGTATTTAAAACCTATTTCTAGGTGGAAGTACTAAACCATTTCACAGTTCAACTACTGCATTTGGCTGTAAAACTTTTTTAATAAGCCCAGGAACAGAGATGTTTAACCTGTTTCCAACAAAAATCTTTGACTGGAAATAAATTTCTTTCTGGGGAATAGTTCCACATTTCAGTTCCTGTGAACTTCACTGGCACTCTATGAAGACTTACCTTATAAAAAAAGTACTGTACAAGGGTTGCTATTCTAATATAGTAAAAGTGCCCATGAACAAAAAGCAACTTGGAGAGGAATTTAAACCGTGCTATTGCATAGTCACTGTTTCTTACAGCTTGTCTTCCTTCCTTGCCCATGATTCCTGTAATATTTGGGAAACAAAACAGAAACATTAAAGTTTTAAAAACCAGCAACATACACCCAAAGCTACAAGTTCTCTTTTCCTGAACTTCAACTTTATAAAGACATCAGCAACTTTCAGTTCTGAAAGAAGGCATTATTCCTGACACAACTAAGGAAACAGCTCATTTGATGCTGATTCAATTAAAAAAACCCCAATATTTCCATAAGCCATGCTTAAGAAAAGATTTATAGAAAGACAAAAATAACAACATCCATATAAAACCAAAAATCCCAAACCAAGCAAACCATTATCAATCCATTTTTTTTTTTTTTTTTTTTTACAGTACCTCTTGGGAATAATATCTGACCTATACACAATAGCAGAATAAAAGAAATGCTGTTCTTACAATATCAGTTTACTTAATCTGATGGGCTGACAATGCCTGTCACAGCTGAACACAAACTCATTTTTAAAAACTACTCTTAATATTAGGATAAGTATACAAAGGGAATACAAAATGCTCTTTTACAGAAGAAAAGTGATTCCTGAAAAACAGAGACTTAAAAGTGCTGGTTGCTTTTGAAAAAAAAAAAAAATCTAAAGGTCTCATCACCCTCAATGGCAAAGACTTAGTAGTTCTGAGCAGCATTCGTATAATATCTAATATGCCACAAATTAAAATAAAAACTTGGATTTTATTTTTAATAATCTTGAGTTAGTTGACAAATTACCTGGAGAATAAAGCATCATTTGCTAATGGCCTGTAACCTTCTCAAGCAGACTATATTCATGGCCTTAAAAATCATGGCCACATGATTTACACGATAACCATTACATGCCCCCTTTTAATTACAGAGATAACCATTACATGCCCCCTTTTAATTACAGAGGGTGACAGATGGACTATTCTGATATACCAATGCCTTATGTAAGAACTTTCAGCATTTACTTTTGTAACAAACACCATCCAACAAGATCAGTAAAGCAAATATCAAAACACTGTGTGAGGGGTACCAGTTCAGTTATACCTATGTTTTGCATTCAATTATATAATACTGTGGAAAAATAAGTTTAAAGGTCCTGGCCAGGTGACAGAAAACAATATTAACAGAGAAAACTACCAAGCTCAGCTGAGAAACAGTAAGTCTCTCAAGAGAGATAATGAAAGCCTTCTCCTCAAAGACAAACTAGACACAAATGGCATTTCTACTGTGATACAGACATGGTGCAAACAGTAGCAGTCTAGTGCAAAGAAAGGTTTAAAGGTCAAGTTTACACAGGAACTTAGAACCTGACAATGTCTGGAGTCAGATATCCACTTCCAGTATCTGAAGCAGAGTAACTTCTGAGATTCCAGTTACAATCTTTGTTGTTCTTAAGGCAACATTAAGCAGGAACTCTTATTATTGGTAGACTACACAATAAACCTAAAATTTCTGAAAACAGCCTAAAATTTTACATTTCACCATAACTCTGCTACAACAAATGACTCAAATTAACACCCACAGGTGCAAAAATATTAGAAGTTTAGCAGTTTATAAACACTATCCATGATCCAAACCTCTACTAAAATTTCCATCTTATTTGCCTTTATCTCTACGGACAAAAGAAAGTTACCTATGCCAACATGTGCTTCTTGTATCATGCTCACATCATTAGCACCATCACCAATTGCTAATGTTATAGGTTTCTCTGGAGACGTTTTTAACAGTCGCACTACCTGAAAAAACAAAACCAAAACGAGCAGAGATTTTTCAGATTAGACAGAGTCTGCATACAAACCATGTCACTAATTCCCAAGTATCTTAGTGAGTTACCTACCCATAAAATACAATTAATATATTTTAAGAATGAGCACGCTTGGGTAAAAAAATTCTTTGGTATACCACATGCACACATTTATTGCTCCTTTAGAAGAGCTGCTTTGCTTTGGGAAACAAGCCTTGTTGAAATACCGCCAAGCCTCTCTTGAACTTATTTTGCTCTTCTTGCTTAGATGTTCTTTTACAGCATTTAATTTGGTGCTTTATCATACTATACAGACAAGTAAAAGTTGGAACTGAAAATTTACTTAGGGAGTAATCCAGATTTAATGCCCTATATAAGACACATCCAGATTCTTCACATTTTCAATTAACAGAGCTAATCAATGTAAAAGAAGAGTGTGAAAAAATATATTAGCTCAAAGATAAATATATGCTGTTACTAAGGAAAATGGTTTCTTTTTCAAGCAACTTCTTTATCACCAATGGTTGAGTAGATACAAACAACTGTATTCAAATTACGGAGTTCTAGCTGGCAGTGTCAGTGCACTGATTCACAGGAGTGGTAACTCACTTCACGTGAGGAACGCAATGGTGATTAAGTATAGTTCACAGTTCAGAGATCCACCTGATTATGGGAATACATTTCCTAACTGCAGATATTAATAGTCATGTTTAAAGGTTCCCCATTCCTAAAGGGTAATTATTTCAAGTACATTTAGCATTAGATCTTAGTAAGCAGCTTTAAACAGGTAGCAAGGCTGCAGCATGTCACCCAGATCAGTCCTCATGAGATACCAAAGACTCTGGTAATTCAGACAAACATCTACATGAAAAGGTCAAGACAAATCCTCTGGCAAATTTTAACAGCAGCAATCAGGAGCAACTCTGTATGACTAACACGAAAGAGGTTTTAAAAAGGTTTCCGAGCCATAAAATATACAAAAAGACATAGTGAGACTGCTAGTCACAAATTAAAATTAAAGGAAAAGCATTAAAATTAAAGGAAAAAAGGGGGAAATATCAAGCTGTCAGCTTAACCTTGGAAAAGACCTCACAAAAAAGGGTGCCTTTATACTTGGTATAATACCTTGGTATTATATCTCACCTGTATTTGAGCAAAATGAAGTGCATGTGAAGGATAAACGGTCTTAAAAGAAAGCACTAAGAGAAACCTCCCCTAGGCCTCAGCTTCCCTTTCCTTCTGCTTCCTCCTCAAAGTTGGATATTTCTTAAATCTTTGCAGAAGCACATTTTTTCTTTACAGATTCATCAATTTTCAGTTTAGCTTTTCTGGTTTGGAGAAGCAATGGAACAGGCAATGCAAAAGCATGAAGGGGATCAGGATAGCTACTGCCTTACAGAACACTCAAGAGGCTGATTGAAGATGAGCCTTTTCCTTGCACAGTGGCAGAAATATGACTCTCTTCTCCATCCACTTGCAAGTTTTCACAACCCTGGGTAGAAACTTCTGAGCAAACTACTCCAGATCAACTGAATTTAACAAGGATTCAAAATTCACACAGAAGGCCAGGCAAACAAAGCAGTTCCAGAAATACAGGCCTCCTCAAAGCATGATAAAAATACTTACAAGACAATCACAATTACATTCTCAATTACCTTTGCTTTCTGAAGGGGTGCCATACGACAGCACAACACCGCAGAACAGTTTTTGCAAACTTCCATGAACAGTTTTTCATGTTCCCTGAGTGCAAGAGAAAGGCTGGTCCCATCCACCACCAGTCCATGCTGAATAACATGGTCTTCCTTTATTCTATTCAGGGACAAAAATAAAATAATAGCTTTCTATCAGTGTGTACCAATGTGATGGAAAAAATCTGAATTTTCTTATGAATTATGTGGCTGCCCATACAATAAAGAAAGGTTAAACAGACTGCTTCTTCAAGTCTGTTAGTATATTAACACATTTTTTAAAAAGGCAACTTCATGTGTTTGGACCATGCACCAAAAATTGTCACAAAATTTGAAAATAAAAGAAAAATCAAGCTAAAGTCATCACTGAGATGATGTCATCTCAGATATTTTACCTCTTGGCTAGCTGTCTCAGTTGTTCTGCGCACGTACTGTCTGACTTGTGTTGCACAAGCTCAAGGATGTTCATAGTTCTGTGAAAGTGTCCACATGACAAACTGACACTAACAGCCGTTTCGTGCTTGTCTCCAGTCAGTACCCAGACTTTGATACCAGCCAACCTGAGTGCTTCTATAGTTTCTTGGACTTTCTCCTGCAGTCTAGAAACAAGAGTATCTTAAATAACAACAACAAAAAACCCAAACACAAACAAATAAAAAAACAAAACCAAACAAACAAACAAAACCAACAAAAAACACACAAACCCAGAGCTCGCCCTTTAACTCCACATCACCCCTCTAGCCTCCCTGCCAATGATTTAAGACTACATTTCCAATGTTACACATATTTTCAGAGAATCATAGCCTGGCAGATGTCACTCCATCACCAGCAATAAAACAAAGGCCTCAATGAAAACAGAAAAAGAACTTTGATCCTGCTAAACAATCAAAAATTTGTAATAACCATATCTTCATCTAAATTAGGCACTGTTGCTGCACTTAAGAAGCTTTAAAAGAATCCATAACAATTATTATCCACGCTGGTACATGAAAAGCTTGTGAATGCTGCATATGTACACTCCTGGTGTGTAAGACTTACAGAATACACACCATGCAAGAAGAATGCTTTGTGAAGTAGCTATGTTTAGAAGCTTTCCCAAAGAATTAGCTGTTACCCTAAACATTTACTGCAATTATTCCACTCCATATACATTAAATCTCTCCTGATGAAGCACATGTAGGTCATTGTTATTAAGCCAAAATCAGTTGGTACAACACATGTTTTGAGCACTTCTCAATCCAAGGAGTGGCAAACACACTAAGCAAGAATAGCTCAGAACTTCTGGTCATGGTAGGACAGTTTTTCATGGCACATGTGATATTTCAGTTACAAATCCTAAAGTCGCTATTTTTTTGAGTGTAATTAGCAAAAACTCCATTGCATACTTGTCTTCCACTCCTGTAGCCCCAAGTAATTCCAGATCCCTTTCGATGAAGTTGAATACATCTGCTAATCTTTCCTCCCGTTGTTGTAAGGCAGTCCTGGCCTCATGAAGGCGTTTACCAATTTCTTGGTACTCTTCAGGTGTGAATCTTCTATAGGCTACACACAAAGTTCTTAGTCCTTTCTGTGAGAAAATAAAATATGACATTTAGAGTAACTAAGATTCTGACCTAACAAGGTGTCACCTGCAATTTGTTCATTTCCAATCCCAGAATTTGTAGTGGAAGAATGTTCTTCCCATCAACTGGGCAAGCATATATGCTTACCAAAGCAAATTCATCCACATGTATCCTTGTTTTGTCTATTTCTCCACTCTTACTACGAGGAAGAATGGAAGATTCTGCTCCCTTTGTAAATAAAAGCTTTTCCCCTAAAAAGTAAAATATAACAGTAAATAAGAATCCATACTATTCCAAACATTCTCAACTGCAGCTTTTGCAGCGTCTGATGACTTACCTGAGGGACTCTCTACGATGACACTCATTCGTCTGCGATTTGGATCAAACTCCAAAACGTGAAGCAATTTATATCTGTATTTTGTGTTTTTATAGAAGGAAGCAAGAGAAAACATTTTTAGAAACAAATTTCCAAGGACAATTACTTATAAACATATTTCAAATCACAGAGCTTTCCCAAAAGCACCATTTTTATATAGAAACTCTAAAAGTAATACTAGCACTACTGAGCACTAGCCAGTTACTGGTGTTTGTGCAATTGATTGCTTTTCATCACTTTATTTACATTTAATTCCATCCTGTAAGAATAAAAGTTTCTAGCTTTATATCAGGAGATTACAGTCTGCTCCTACTTATTCCCTTACTCTTCTGTCATTATTTCAAGTGTAACTTTGGAACAAATTGTAGTTTCCAAATACTTGTAAACAACCTACACAGTGAAAAATGAGCGTATGCTTCCTGAAAACAAAACCATTTTTTTGTTACGTTATCACTAGTTCAGGAAATTATTTTTGACATTTAAGTTTAAAGAACTGTCAACTAATATATACAGATAAAATACATAAAAGGTATTATGACATACTGGAGATATACAGTTACCAGTAATACGTCTGCTCAAGTTTAAGGTACATAACTAGATTCTGCATACATGAGACTGATTCTGCTATCTTCTAGAAAGCTCTAGAAACTAGCAAATGTCTAGAACTAGAACACACCACCTGTAGAGCTGAATAAGCAATCTGGTTTTCCAACTCAACTACAGTCTCAGCCTTTGAGGAAGGGGCAAAGATACCAACCGTTAAAATACACACCTACACAGAATAACTCACACAAAACTCTCGCATCTCAGTTTCAATTCATAAGGTATAAGATGCAAACTGTCTTGAAGACATCAAGGGAAAAACATTAAAAAGAGCATGCTGTGGAAAGGACAAGGTTTTCTAATGAACAGAGGGGATTAAGACAAGAACATTTTTTTTTTTTAAGGACAGAAAAAATAATATAAACAAGAAATAAACCCAAATACCTTTCTGGTTTTCCTAGACTTTCTACTTCCATACTGTCTCCACTAGTTCCAGTAAATACTACTCCAACCCTAAAAGGAAATTAAAATATACATTTAATCACCACTTTAGACATAATGTCTACTGATTGTTTTGGGGATAGGGTGGGGCAGGAAGAGAAAAGGGAAAAGAGATGGAGATGCTCATACCCCACTACTGCTCTCTACTTCTAGAGAAAGTGAAGAATGGTCACTTTCTACAATATTTTAATAGCAATGTACTCTGTCCACTGTAACTTCAAGGATTTTAAAAAATATTTTATATATAACTTATA